CCCCAAAACCCCAAAACCCCAAAACCCCAAAACCCCAAAACCCCATTTAGAAATTAATCAAAATACTACTAAATTCTTACATGTCTGCAATCCAGACGATATTTAATATAGAGGGCTGAGCTGTAACTTCCTAGCATCCGAATTTGTTCTTCCTGAATGCTTTCAAGGAAGAAATCTTGGAGAGGCTGGAAGGATACAGTAAGCTAATCTTGCTTTTTGAAGTCGCATTTGTACTATAGAAGCACGATTTTTTTGGATCTTCTATCATTTTCTTTTTATTCTCAGTTATAACTCCTTCTATCTGGTCAAATGCATTTATTGTGTTCAGGAGATCCTTAGCGTTTATATGACGCTTTGATTCTCTATCGAAATGCAGCTTTTTAGCTGCTCTGGTTGATATTTCTCTAGTATTCTTTTCCTTTCAAGGTTTTATGGTTTGGAGCACCCTTTTATTTTTCTTCACCCTACCATTCTTATCACCAGGAGTGAGAAGTTTTGAGTTATTGTCTGAAGAGGACTTGTCAGGAGTGCTATTCTTCGGGAAGATTTTCGATATCATCTCTGATTCATTATGGTTAGAAGCCTCGTGGTTTGAATTAATATGTTCAAAATCTTCATCAGGATTTAGCACCAATTCACGTTCGTTCGAAAATCTTCCACTACCTGCTGAAAGATCTTTCGGTGAAGAAGTCAGAGAATTTTCGCAGTTTATGCAATAGCAAGGAGAATTTTTGAATCAGAATATTTCTTTCTTCTTGATTGGGGAGACTCCATTAAGCAGTCTGCAATTTTTTGAGTGTTCAATAAAGCTTTTGGGACTATAGAGCCCTTCTCATGCTTTACACTTTATCGTCTTGATTAAGTCTCTATTATTGACTATCTCAAGAGGATCATATGAAATTTTCTTAGCTTCATCAAGATCATCTTCTGAACTTCCTCAGTATCTTTTGGAACCTCCTTGATTTCTTTGGGTCTTATTCTGAGATAGTCAGCGCTTCTTGTCTCCAAAGTAAAATGAAGATCCATTTTGGGTCCCAGTTGAGTATTTGCTTTTCGGTGGCATTCTTGATTGGTCGTGGAGATTCTCATGAAGATTCGGTATAACCCTAGATGAAGTAGCTCTTTCATCAAAAGTTATATCAGCCTTCCAAAAGCTGTTATGACTCATCTTCCTTTGGTAGAAGTACTTTTTGCCATCTTGGATTGGAGAAAAGTACTTGCTCATGGGTGCTAGTAAAGAGTTATCCATATTTTTAGTGGGATTGACGGTCTGGTAGGCTCACCTTGATATGTCCTTATTAAAAATGAATTCTGAGAGTCTATTTTTGAGTTTCTTATTTTCCTCTCTTAGCCTAGTATTCTCTGCTTTGGTCTTGCGGTTATCTTTCTCCACTTTATTCATAATTTCTTGCTTTTTGAGATGAATATCAATGTCTATCTTGGACTCAGTCTTTCTTAGTTTTCTTTCTACAATAAGCTCATGCTTCTTCTTCTTAATAGCATCCTTAAGCTTCTTTTCTGTGAGTTCACACCTGTCCATGTCTCTTTTGAGCATGTTGACCTGGCCTTGCAGCTCTTGGACTACCTTAGTATCGATATCTTTGCTCTTTACATTTTTAAGCTGCTTAATTTTTATAGCTAGAGCTTCAGAAGTTTGACGATTTTTGGATTCACTTTTCTTCAATTTCTCAGAAATTTTTGCAACTTCTGTGTTCTTCGAAGCTACTACATCCTTCAAGGTGCTTATTTTTGCCTTCAAAGCTAATATTTCTTGGTTCGTGGATATTTTCAAGTCTGAATATTTATTTGCCATTAGTGCCAATTGGTCTGTAAGATGGAACATACTCATTTCTTTACTAGCACTAGAGATGTACGAATCTCCTGCACAACTGCATTCATTCTCTTGGAGGCTTTGTATCCTCTCTTCCAGCCTTGTCTTTTCAACCTGATGTCATTCAGTTATGGATTTAAGATGCTGCTCATATTTCTCCCTCTGTTCATCTAATTCCTTCTGGCATTCATCTTTGATAGCTTGAGTTTCTTCTTCTCAGTCAGAACGCATGCGATGGAGCTGTTTCTCAAGCTGCTGGATAACTTCTTGGTGAATCTCCTCTGCACTCTGGTCACCATTTCTAGAGCTATTGAAAATGTCAAGGACAGACTTTCTCAAAGGTGAGGCCTCCTTGTGATCTTGTGCACCAACACCTTGTGTAATTCCATTTTGGAGAACTTTCTCTCGGAACTCACCTAATTCTTGCTCTAAGTATTTAATCCGATCCTGAAATTGGGCCTTGACTTGGCCTAGATGATCCTGATGGATCTCTTCTAGTTTCTTGATCCTATCCTCAAAAGGATTAGCTGTTTCTTTTGGGACTTCTATAGGGGGCGTAAGTATTTCCTAGTTCTGGTCTTTAGGGTCGGTGAATAAGTTGCAAAATTTTTTGGAGAACCGAAATTTAGAAGCCCAAAGTCATAAGCAGCGAAGAGTAAAAGTTGAAGATTGTCACAATACTTACCTATCTTAAGTATTTCTATTGAAGTTGGAGTGATAGTGTTCCTCTTTTTCAATTTTGTTGCATTTGAAGGTTCTTTCAGAGTCTTGACAATTGATTTCCGATTATCTTTTGTTCAGGTATTAGACACATTTGAAGAGTTTTCCTTCTCTTTGATTTTTTGTTTGCGCTTCCTTATTGGAGTCTACATGTTAGATTAGAGTAAATAGCTTACAACTAACTCTGTTAAGTAATTTTTGCGACTTTTATCTGCTTTCATTTTTATTGAATAAAAATAATGTAAATTGTTGTATCCAGTAAAGACCATAACGAGGGGTTTTGGGGTTTTGGGGTTTTGGGGTTTTGGGGTTTTGGGG